TCGTGAACAGCAGTAGCTTAGGGAAAAACTCTATCCTGCGAGAGATTCGCGTGACGTGTGTGTCACAGAATTTTATTTTTTGAGCTACAACACATCAACGACCTTTTCAAAGAAACTAAGTACATTTCGCCCACAATACAATCATACTCCTGCCATCATTCAATGATCTGTAAGTTCTGCTAGGATTATTACGACGATAACCTTGCAATTCTTGTATTCCGTCATTTCAAACAATTTGTGAAATCATCATAATGAATGAAAGTCAGAGTTGCTTGCCGAAAGTGATGGATACACTGCGTGTGATACAGCTTCATGGAAGCAGAGGCACTTCTGCGCCTCATCACTGGCAAATGCGAAATCAGGTGAGAAACTGTTAACAAATTTCGGACGGCTCGTTCTTCCATTCTATTAAGTGCGATATCCGTGTGCACCTGTTTCAGCGTACAATTTGTATAGAAACCCGAGAAAGGTGGAACCCACTGAGCTTTTTGAGACTGCCTTGATAGAACCCAGTTTCGAGAAAGAAGGAAGAAAAAAGAATCACGGGCCAGCTATTTCAAAGGATTGTACAATCGTGGGGTATGATGTCCAAGCTGCCGTCCGATACGCGTTAGGAGGATATTTCCCCATGACGACGTCCATACAACATCTTAGGTCGGTTATGCTACAATTAGCTACAAGAATTCTAGGATGAAAGTAGTTGCGGAAAATTTTAGTGCGGTAAAGTAAACCACCGAGAAGAAAAAGGCTCCTATAGGTGGCCATTGGCGCTCCTGCTGCTTCACCATAACAAGTATACATTACACTCGTCGCAAAAGTGTTGATTAGTTAATGCTAAATCCTTCATCCTTCATACCGCACAGTAAAGTCTGGAGAAAAAACTTCCACAATATTATGTTTCAGAGAAAGAACTTACTCGAATGTAATTGAGTAGCAGTTGAAGTCGACACGCAAAACACAGACATAATGATGCAATAGCGAAATGAAAGAGACCGATGACGACAGGAAGAAAATTGGTGGCGATCCATGTTTGCCCTCGTTGATAGTGTTTAGTGAGAATTTTCAACGGAAACGGTACAATGAAGAACACAAATTGCACGATAGCGATGATCCGAATGTACGTGAAACTGAAAGGCTTCCAGTTTGTCATTGTTGTATTTCTCTTTTCGTTTTCTCTATTTCTTGATCTCTTTTCGATTACACTATATATTAAGGGTAGGTGCGATTAATTAAATTACTAAAGTTTGGAAAAAAATTTTAAAAACTCCAGGAATTCTGTGATATAAGCAGAACTCGGAACCGCGGTTAAGCTTCGATTCAGCCAATATCGTTTTCAGTGGCTCACGTGCTATTCATTTCCCTATCGAAGAATAGCTTTGCCTTTCTTTCAGCCACACCTTGAAATTTCTTTCATATCTCAGCATTCTTGCTGCTATAGTACACGCCGTAGCTTTCCGTGAGAAAAAATAAACAATATTCAAAAGTTAAATCAGTGAAGAGATTCTCTTTTTGCGAACAAAACAGTTCGGCATAAGGCATTTATTAACATACTAAAGTTCAAAGTTTTATGCAGTGCATTAAAAACAATCTTCATCAAATAGTTTCCATTTTACAAATTGTTTATAGTTAAACTGGCATGTTTTCGAACTAGTTTTGGCCGACGATGAATAAGATATAAAGAATATAATGGAAAAAGCGTCGGGATTGGCACAGCGTGATGTATGTGATGATGGTGATGCAATTGGTAGTAAGACTATAAGCTGCAAAATGTCCAGACTTGATGATATCTCTGCAGCAAGAAGTTGTGCGGAAATGTGCAATGAATCGAATGAGCGGAGCTGAGTATTTTGGGGATGTGGCAAGTGAGTTTATTGCCAAACGCTCGAGTTATTTCACACTTTAAGTAAGATAGTCTCACACTGATAATCTTTGTAAATAAATATCATAGGCAAATCATATAAAATTTGGAAAGTTTAAATTTTTTTATTGGTAGTGCGCTTCATGGCAGCTTACAAAAGAAAAGGCATTCATTAACAGTGTAGTTGATTTAGCATCGATTATTTACAAAAATACGCACAGTAAAAGTTGTAATGACGGATTATGTAAGTAAATAAATAAGTAAATAAAATTTACAAAAATAACGAGACTACAGAAATTTTGAGGGATAAGAAACTGGCAGTGTATATCATGATTTCGCCTTTTGATTTTTTCCAAAAATTTTTCTTTTACTGTCTTGATCTTTATCTGGGACGCAGATAGTGCCACGTTAGAGATACTATTCAGTACGCGCTGATTACTAGTTTCACTCTCCCTCAAACCAACAGAGTCTCTTACCACTCCGAAGTTCGAATGTTGTAGTGCTCACTCTGTTCCATAACGGTTGGCTAATGCCAATAATGATAATCTCGACACAGCTTAACAATACTTGATACTGTCCGAGATATGTGGAAACTTTTTTTGGCTTTGTTCCATTATGGCTGCGCCACTTGCGGCCTTCGGTAAAAACGTATTTTTTGCTTTTGCAAAACGTTTCTGTAGTTTATTGACAGCTCAAATAAAGTGAATTTTAATGGCATGTTTAATTTCTCAAATAGCTTATTTTTGGAGCCGTACCAGTCAAAATAAGATTTTGTTCCTCATTCGAAGATTTCTCACTGAATAAAAGTGGTAGTGTTCTATCATGGCAGTGCCAATTGAGGCCTTCGGTAAAAGCGTATTTTTTTGGTGTTATCTGATTAATGTATGATTATCTGATAGCTCAAATCAGGTAGATTTTGAGGGTATATTTTATTTCTCATAATGCTTTTTTTTAACGTCGTACCTGTTAAAATAAGCTTTTGTTGCACATTTGAAGATTTCTCGCCTAGTAAAAGTTTTTCAAAACTAAATTTTAACCATTAGATAAAGCAACTCTTTCTGATTAGGAAAATGTGTTTGCGTTTTGGTATTACAGCTGCACATACACCCTAGCCGACTAGAAGTGCTCACTGAGTGTGAAACCCAATATTCCTTTGGTCGTTACAAAGCTTGAAGGAGTCCTTTTGAAAGACAAATGTAGCATTATAATCGAAAAGATTTTCTCTATCTAACGATTAAAAGTTTATTACATCAAAACTTTTATCCAGTGAGAAATCATTGAATGAGGAACAAAATCTAATTTCGACTGGTACGTCGTCAAAAATAAGCTATCTGAGAAATTAAACATGCCATTCAAATTCACTTGATCTGAGCTATCGATTAACTACAGAAACGTTTTGAAAAGAAAAAAAATACGCTTTTAGCGAAGGTCTCAAGTGGCGCCGCCATAATAGAAAAGTACCATTTAGTATGGCCATCTCAAAATTCCAGAGAAAAAATCCAGTCCACTCAACTAGCATTAGGGTAAGTTCATGAAGACTAATCCAGATATAGTAGCTGAACCCAAGTGCAAATTCGAACATCTTTGCGAGTGACAGTTGTGAGACAGCGAAGCGGATGAAAGTGTTGTTGGTCTACCACTTCATTTCCACAAAAATTAACCGTTCTTTCAGTTTTGTCATCCCCTCATCGACCAGTATGTATAAATACTACCCCGATAGTGAATAGTGCTGGCAACGGCTTTTAATACATGCACATGTATCTGGTAAGTTTTTATTAGAAAAAATGTTAGCATTTGCTGCGAATGGAATCATTTATGAGGCAGTGGAGCGCCTATTTGGTTAACCCACAAATTCTTCCGTGCTAATGCTTCAATTAGTTCATTTTCCATAGCAAATCGGGTTTTTGCAAAAAGGCTGTGGTACATTGGAGAATGTTTTGATTGTTTGGAAAGACACGACACTTTGATGTGGCCGTAGCACCATCGTTCACAATCCAAAATGGAATGAGTTAAATCACAACGGTTTCCTGTTGGACACCCTATGTATTGACCTCCACGACCGCACTACACTCGTGACCATTTGCGGAAGTCTTTTGCTGTAACCGTACAGGCAGGGCTTTGTTAAGTTCGTGGGTCCCACGACCAGTTCAATACGGGTCACACTCACTGGCTGCCTCCTGCAAAGACCCGTCAGCCCAACTAAAGCCCAAGTTTAATGCTCGAGAGGTCATGCTCTCAGTTTACTGAGGTTGACAAAGCATGCTGTTTTGGCAACTGCTCGACAACAGGCAGGCAGTCAATGCCGACGTCTACGGGAATATGCTTGAATGTCGGCAGCAACAATGCGAGAGAAGCGTCGAAAACGACTCAGTGTCGCCCTTCTTTAGGGTAACGCACGACTTCATATTGTGAAGTCGATTTGCCACATTTGGGAGAAACTTGGCTTGACCACGGTTCTACATCTACCGCATAACCCTGACATTCTTCCATCGCATTATCATCTTTTCCGCACCCTAAGCAGCATCTGCGGGAGAATACAATTTGAAAACTACAATGCTAATAAGTGACCTCACCTACTTTTTTGATCGCCAGCCTCATTTTGCGTAGTAAGAAGACATCCAGTCTTCACCCAAAAAATGATTGCATAGCATTGATCATAATGCAGATTATATTGTTTATTATTTGAATCTTTACTGGTACAATTGCAGTGACAAAACTGTAGAAATGCGAAAGAAATCATGAGGTAACCCAATAGAACAAGTGAGTGTCTCACCTTGCCGTGCCAAGTTTTGCTCTGTCAGAAAACTGAATCAACAAGCATAAATTACTAATAATGCCAATAAATACAAGTGACAACTGTAGAATCACAATACCGTTGTTGACAGACGGTTCCTGAAAGATTAAAAGGACCATGTTCTCATCATTGGAATTTATACAAATCTAACTCTTTTCATTAAACCTCCTTTTCCGGTTGCATAATTCTCTAAATATGCCCAGTGTTGTAGAGTGATGTGCGAAATTTCTGCGTCAAATGAGACTCGAACTCACATCCCGGGGGCGCGTGCTTTTAACCCGTTGCACTAGTGACGCCCGTTTTGTCTACAACACAGGTGCGCTGTAGCGTAGAGTGATGGCAAAACGGGCGTCAGTAATGAAACGGTTTAGAGCACGCGTTTCTCGATAAAGTGAGATGTGGGTTCGAGCCCCGCCTGACGCAGAAGTTTTGCACATCACCCTATATCACTGGGTATATGTGAGGAATGATTATATGATTGATTTGCAGTCAATCTGATTTTTAACCGCTTAATAGTAATATTATTACTGATGTTTCTACCAGATTTGACTGGGAAAATCCACTCTTTGCAGTCTCAGTGAAGCGCTCCAATCCTACTATTGCAGATCGCCAGGCAGAATCAACTTGTCCATCATTCATCAACATTTACATAGAAAACATCAATCCTCGTACGACAGCTCAACCCACACCCAAAAAATTTAAATAATCCCGTGGATGATGGAGGCGAGGAACTAATCGAATGCAATAAGTGCTGTAATCCCTACCGTAGATGTAAAAACAGCTCTCATAAAAAGAGGAATATCGTTCATAAACATCCCAATAAATAAGAAAATTAGATATCTACAAAAATAGCACAGAGTTGATTAGCCTGCCCATTTCGAAATACATTTAATGAACTGAACACTGCTACTGCACTAAAATTCATAAACAACACGATTTGGATTTTAAGTAGTCAGTAGTTCAAAGAAAATTTCTTAGAAAAAAGAGGCAGTTAATATGTAAAAGGAAACAGACTTGAAAAAGACTTGTAGAGAGAAATAACGGCAAAAAAGAAAATGTATAAGGCGGATAATTTAAAAGTCAAAAAGAAAATTATAACGTAATCTCACCGGATAGATTTCGTTACATTGTGGATATGTTTCATTGGTGAAGAACATTATGATTTTGGCGATGAATCTGTAATCCTGGGCATGAAAGAGAACATTCTCGATAGTATGCCAATGATTGTCGTATCGATTCCGTAAAGAGAAAGAAGCGCTTCTATTTATCTAACTCACTATCTATATGGATTATGGAAGCACGACATTAACAAAATTTTGATGAAAAAGAATGGGAAATGAACTCATGAGAGAAGGAATTATCAAACTTTTGTAGATTAATAGAGTAGATGATATGAAAGAAAGTTATTACGATAAAATGGCCAGAAATTTCTAATAGTTTTAATTTGACGTTCAATAGAGCATAACATTTTTTGATATAGCATTTCTTCCGTCGGACAATAATAACACATGATGTGAAAGAATACTTTTTTTTGCTTTAACACCTATTGATTTTTGCCATCACTTTAAGGACAGCCATGCCTTTTTTCGGAAGTACTTCTAACTGCGAATTTATCTAAAATGAAATCTCAAGGCACTTGAGAACGAAATTGAAGTTTTTACATGCTGCAAAGAAAACTCTGTGCTGCAAAACATGGACAACACATTAGGAAGGACTTTCTGGACTGCATGTTGTTTATCCAATCGTTTTACTATTTGTAATAAAAGTCTCAACAAAAAAGTGAGAGTTGTTCATAAGATCAGTCTCACACCTTCTTAGTATATATACACATGTGTACCTTATTCACTAACTTCTAGACATTCTAGCTTATCTTATTACCACGGTTTGAAATAAGTCCACCGACGCAGCAATACACCTATGGTCATTAGTTGGATTTCAAGATCAGCGCGACCTACGTTCATCCAATGACCGTATATCAGAGTAATTCGGATGGATACGAACACTAAACCGATATGTTAACAGGCTCCAGTAACTCTTTGTAGAAGCCGAATATTGTTAGATTGAGCGAAAAATTATGGGATGCTATTGAAAGGTTCATTCCCTGACATCTTTGTGTCGCTTTTTGTTGATAGTTTTGTATATATATACTTATTTTACTAATTTCAGCTCTAAAATGCCTCTAGAACAGTATGATTTGCATATGTTGATACTCCATTATTGAAGAGAAGGTTCAACGACTCTCAAAGTCGTTGATGAGATTAATGAGCGTGAAGGAGTTGGTACGGCGACAAAATCGACTGTGGGCGTATGTCTTATGCTTCAAAGAAAGCAATTTTGATTTCGAAGACATGCCTCATTTTGGCCGGTAATCTGTTTTGGTTAGAACTTACTTGCAAGTCGCTTTGGATACTGAGTTTCCGTTGAGCTCTCGTGATGTGGCTAAAGAGCTTGATATTGCACAACGGCCCGTTGCCAGCAAGTTACATTAATTTGACTTTTTACACAAGAAGCTTCATCTGCATCCTCTTGAGCTTTAACTGATTATAGCCTCTTTCGACCGGTGCAACAGTTTTCGAATGTCCGTCTATTTGAATCACTTAATGAAGTTTAAGAAAATGTCGAGAGTTTTTAGATTCAAAAGAGCCGGGTTGGTAGTAAGAACAGATCCGAATCTTGCAGAACAATTTCAGGAAGTCGTGGATTCTACTTTGAAGAATAGTTACTGTTGTTTTTGTTGTTCATTTTATCATAAAAACGAAATCCTCAGAATTTCTCAAAATTCTCTGCTTATCCCTGACTAATTCAACCACCCTTCCGTTGTTAGATCGAGTTTAATGCACGACCAGACCATAATGGATTGATCTACGTCTAGAGCGTTACACTTCCCATTTTTACGAGCTAAAGAGTTTATATAATGGACGCATAAGCTTCGGTAAACGATCACGGCAACCTTACACAATGCGCAATTCTCTAGACTAAAACCAGTAGAAAATTTCCTAACAGAATGCTCATTGGGCAAAAGTTAAGAGCAAGAGTAAAAACAGCTAAGAATCTGCTCGCATTAAGAATCAATCTAGTTACTCACTAAGCAAGTTCAACGAAACAAACATGCTCCAATGCATTCTATATTTCACGGATGAAATCAAATAACAGAAATTGATTGCAGTTTTTTATTTCTTTGCCAGCCTGTGCTCATCTCTTTTTCTGTTTCAGTGATAATGAACAACATGGCCTTTTTTTTCCTGTATTCATAATTGAATAGCTGAAATGTTAACAAAAATCCTTGCCTGTCGAAGCGTAAATATACACCAAACACGTAGGTATTCTCAGAGTTCTTTAGCTATGAATTATAGATGGGAAAATAAAACACGTCGTTTGTATTTTAATGAGTACTTAACTGTTATTCTGTAATTATCAGCTCTATCATACACGGTCACGTTTACCATTAAACTTTCCGCCACCGTTGGCATTCGATTAAGACGAATCATTGTTAAAATCGTGTATTTTACACGCGAGTTTTACATCTATCAAAAACATTATTTATTTAGAAATAAGGAATAATTAGGGGAGAGGGGCTGTAGTCGAGGGCTAGTGATACACGGCACGGCTCGACGCGGGATTGTTACCCAACATTCTCCGGCAATCAATAACGAACACCCTACGCAGCACTCCAGCCTGGTTATCCTCTGGGTTGCATACAAGACAACCTTCAAAGGCCTAGATTTTTGGGGGAAAATTCGGCCTATGTACTGAAATCTGCACAAATGTTGGCGCGGCATATGAGATGCGTATGTACCGAGATCAACGTGCGTGGTTGTGATGAGAGTAAACGGATTCGAATAGACATTGCTAAATTCTCTCTGTTCGCCTTCGTAGAACTCAAAAGCTGTCGACTAGGACTAATTTGTTTAAGAGGGACTAAAACCATTATATTTCTAATTTGTGGCATTTGTTCATATTATTTTCTTTACAAGGATGTTATCATAACTGATGTGCTTAACGTGAGATAGGCTTCCTATTCGGTGAGATATCAAAAGAGTGAAGACAACTCCTGCTCAGCTTGAGTGTTTCCCAAGAACTAATTGACCAAATGACTAATTCATCGAAGTTCTACAAAAAAAAAATATGAGGCTCACTGCATTTCGCTCATGTGAGCAGTATGTACTAAGCAACTCAATACATGCGTCAGCTTGAAGTTGAGAGTTTGTTGGCTTCTGTTGGACTGTGCTGACGATTAACACAAGGATATCTGCTAGTACTGGATTGAAAAGAACGAAGGGAGTGCTTTATTTATGGTAAGATTATTATATATCTACTGATTTGTGCCAATATATTCGAAAACAACTACAAGATTTGAATTCTATGAAAATTATTGCATTTTCTTTGTGCACTAAATTTCAATGCATTTAAAAGTTTTTCAAAGGTAAAAATTACTTTATTTGCTTTGCGCATTGATTTTTAGTCCTATTAAAAAGGCTCATGAACGTTGAGAAGATAAATTTGGGATAAATTATAAAGAATGGAAGCAATTTCACAAATAATTGTAAGACTGAATCGATGAACATCTACAAAGCACGGACATGATTCGGTGACGACACGATTATGACTGTTGTCGCACCGCAATTTAGCTAATTATCACAAGCGAAGACCTTATGGTAGGAAACGGAGTATTTTCCATAATAAAAAGAACGTCTATCAATAACAATGAGATCTAGGCTTACTATTAATGTAACCTATTTCTGCTCTAACTGCTTGACTCAGATAATAGTTTAAACAGCTCAATTATAAAAAATGATTGGTTGTAGTAGTAAATAAATGCATTTTTTCCATCAGTAACCTTGATTGAGGTAGGCTGAAAATAAGATTACTTGGATAACGTTTTGACCTCTTTGTTTTCTTAAGCGCTATGACGATCGAAGTGGATTTCTCACATCTATTTATTTTCTCATTGTGAGTTGTTTTAATCGAATCAATTCGAATCCAGTGGTCCAGAGGTTACCTTCCGCAACGACGACCCCTCCTGTAGATTTAAATGATTATACTAGGTTGAGGGAAGATTCCTGCGCATCGCGAAAAAATTCAGATTTTATGTTTGTTTTACACCAGTTTTGGTTAATGTGAATCCATAGGATTATCTCCGAAATATTTCCATAACAAAGCAACGCCAATTATATTGCATCAAATTTTGATGTACTCTTCGGATATCAAATGATGACGATATGCAAAAATTAGCTTCGGGTTTCGAAACACTATTTGCTAACAGGGACTGCATTTCGACAATAGATGCTGCAAAGGAGATCTGTGATGCCAAGGAAAGCATGAAGGTCATGATTTGCGCTTGGTAGATCAGGGTGTCTGGTACTCCCACTTCTTTCGAATGGTCAAGTCATCAATGCCGAACTCTGCTGCAAGCAACTTGACCG